TCTCCCTGTCTCCTCTGCTCTCCCTTCTCTCTCTCTCCCTGTCTCTCTCTCTCTCTCCCTGTCTCTCTCTCTCCCTGTCTGTCTCTCTCTCCCTGTCTGTCTCTCTCTCCCTGTCTGTCTCTTTCTCCTCCGTAGCTTTACTCCATAACCCAGACTTTGCATATACATACACGTGTTTATAATTGATGGACATTTTTGTAGGGGTTGAGACATTTTTTGTAAGGGAAAATCAAGTCGGACATTTCAAAGTGGAAATTCCAAACTTAAGCAGCCTTTATATTCCTCAAATACACTACAAGTTTGACATTTCCTGCATTGCAGGAAAGTTCTCCCGCAACAGAGTGATCAAATTAAGATCTTACATCTGTATTACATATCTCTGTGCGTGATTATAGAGGTGTAATAAGCAACTGCAGCTCTTAGACTTGGTCTGATGCCTATAGATTCATATCTGCCCATTAATTGGTTGCTTTTGAGTTAATGTGACTGTCTAAGGAAGTTCGCAATACAATGTGTAACTCTTGATACATGTGAAAAGTGTGCAGCTTACAGTGTGCTTATACTGTCTCTGCAACCTCCTTATCTGCAGTACATTTATTTAAACGTATAACTGTATGCAGACTTATTCCCTGCAGTACATATTTTTTAGATGTATTGTTGTAGTGGTAAATAAACCCAGACTACTAAAGCTTTGTGTTGAAAGACTAAACTCACCCCTGCTGTTGGCTTGAGACCACATAGTTGCTGCTTGTCCTTCTTTCTACCTCCTCTCCCTTCCCCTCTCTCTCTCTCCCTTCCCCTCTGTCTCTCTCTCCCTCCCTCTTGCTCTCTTGCTTGCTCCCCCCATACTCTCTCTCTCTTTCTCCCTCACTCTCCTGTGTCTCTCTCTCGTTGATCCCTCTCTCTCTCTCCACCTCTCTCGCCGTCTCCCTCGCTCTCTCACTTCTGCAGGATGTTTTTGTTGAGTTGGATTTCCATTGTCCGGCTGCTGAGTTGGCCGCTGTCCCAGAGCAGAGCTATTATACAGCAGAGCGGAGCAGAGAGGCCCGCTAATAGATTCTTCATGTGCCTGCCGTGCCTGCCGCACATCAGAGCAGGAATTTGGAAATGATTTTAACAGAGTCCCCCCCCCCAACGAAAAGAGAGAGAGAGAAGAGGACTGTGTGTGTTTCAGTGGGGAGTGTGTGTCATTGTGTGTGTGTGTGTGTGTTGCCTGAAAGAAGCTGGGTGTGATATTGTATACCACCCTATCTGCAGGGCTTTCATTTGCTCAAAGTATGTTTTATGTATGCTTTGGGTGGGTGGCGATTGAGTCTGTGGGTGGTAAATGTGTCCGTGGGTGGTGAATGTGTCCGTGCACTGTTGTCAAGTGTTCTCGTACACAGCAGAGGTGAATGAAGAAGGTGAACTGAACATTGCTCATACAGCTCCACCGGATCAATGCATTATCTACAGCCAAACCTATGCATGTGCAACAGAGTTAAGGGAAAGAGTCATCACATGATGCAAAACTCGTCATACCGGCTGGATTTCTGCCTGCTTGAACGGCAATAGCTCAGATACACATAAAAACATGAAATTACCCCGGTAATCGATAGAACCTCGCTCAGAGATGCACAAAAATGATCTAACATTCAAAATGGGCAAATCTTTCCTTTAAGAACGTAACATAAAATCACTCCACTGCTAGCTTGAAATGTTGTCGATGGAGCCATCCAATTGGTACCCTTTGTGTGTCTCAAACCGTGGGAACGTTGTCAAGGAGGGCGGTCACGTGTGTTAGCAAAGCAGAGGTCCCGAGTTCCAGCTAGGTATGAGCCGAATCGGGGGGAGGTGGCATGCATGTGCCTAATGTCCACTTTTGATGTGATCTTGTGCTCTCTAAGAATTGTTCCTCAGTCGTCTACTTCCCAACACACAACAAATAGGCCTATTTTTTTTTATAACACAGTTAGTTACTTGTGTCTCACTTGGTAGAGCATGGCACTTGCAATGCCATGGTTGTGGGTTCAATTCCCATGGGGGACCAGTATGAAAATGTATGAA